ATTGGGTATTTAAACAATAGTTAAACCAGTAATGCCTATTCCATACTGCACCTGACATACACACACAATGATTTTCCATCCTGATTAACAAATTAAAATAAAATACTAAATCTGTATTTTTTTTAAAAAGATAATGCTTCTAGATGTAATAAAACAAATTTCATGACAGTGGGAATAATTATTTTACAATGAAGCTAATTGATTCATTGTGATTTTAAAAATATATATTTTGGACAGAAAATATTTGACCAACTCTGTCTAGTTGATATTACATAGCAGGTGAAAATCCTGTCCTTATTAAAGTAAATGGAAAAACTCCCCCATTGATTTCCATAGGTCAGAATTTCACCCAGCATGTTAAAGGAAGGTTGTCAGATCTTGGTCATCCTTTCTGTGTAATGCTGATTCCTTAGGTGGATGACTACCAAAAGTGCTTCGCATTCCCAGCTTCTGTCATAGAATAGCCATCATCAGATACAGAACAGACAGAACAAACTTGATATGTTGTTAATAATAATTATTACTGAAGTTTAAATCTTGGCAAAACCTTTATGGCCCTTCCTTTGATTAATCTTCCATAGTCTTAAAATAATGTAAATCCCACAAGGTTGTTCTTTAGAACAGTGGTCTCCAAACTTTTTTGATCGTGCACTCCTATCAGTAAAAAAAAATTTGAGCACTCACCCCCTGCTGCACCGGCTCTACCATTTTTGCCAAAGCAAAAAAGCATTTAACTTATTGTGGGGAGTTCTCTGCTTGGATGAAGAGAGGAAAAAAAACACTCCATCTGCCGCACACCCCCAAAGATCCTCTTGCGCACCCCCTGCGGAGCACACACCCCACTTTGGAGACAAGAGCCCTTTAGAACAAAAATATCAACATTTAATAGCTATATACCACATACTTTCATCTTAGCACCTTGTTCCATGCCACTCCTTGCACATGAAATTCTCTCCATTTGCCTCTGCCTCCCTACTCAAAACATTCTTAAAAGACATTTCTGAAGACCAAGCCACCAAGAATAGAAAATGTACTTTAAAAAACAAACAAAATGCACCACCTGGAGTTTGTGGTCCTTCCACTGTGTATCATCTGTGTTTTGACTATATGCTCTTTTAGGGCCCAATCCTGCATCCCTCATTCATTCTAGTAATCCGTACTATCTGGGCAAATACTGCAGAAAAAGCACTTGGAAACATTAGTTGGTATAAACATTACAAATTAGCGCTGACTATGGGCAAAATAAAAATATGAGACAACTGTCATAGAAGGGAGATGCCTGATGTGGTGCAGGTGGGTGACAGGAAGGTGAACATAAGAGCAAAAGGGCTCTCTGAAAAAATGCCATCTATGCCTCTTAACTAGCAGCATCAAATTAAATGTACAAGAGTTTCAGTAACTTTGCTGCTGTTGGCTGTGCTTCTATTTCTGTTCCCATGGAAACAGGTGGTGAATTGCCACAAACATGATAAGAGGATTGCGAGTAATACTGTATAATAAATATACAGTATTTTTATATTACATTTATTTTTATATATATATAAATGAAGCTTTGGAGTTTAGTTCCCACTTCCAAATGTTTGTATTTAGCTCAAATGCAAATGTCTGGAAAAGTTCCTTTCCTCCTATGGGCCAAATCCCCTTTTAAAATTCATTTATTTCATGAATCTTTCCAATACTAAATATCCACCGAGAGTGTTTCTACTTATTCTTGTGCTTAAATTGTAAAATGCCTGCCCGAGTTAGACTGTAAGCAATCCAGGCAGGGATCCAGTCCTTTCTATTATTTATTATTTGTATTACTATTGCACCTAGTAGCTCTAATCAGGGACCAGGACCCCTTGTGCTAGGGGTTGTAGAAACAGAACAAAAAGATAGTCCCTGCCCCCAAAGAGCTTGCAATTTAAATATAATACTTGAGACAACAAATGGACACAGACAGACAGACAGGGTACAAGGAAACAATCGTGATCAGCATAATATGCTGTGATCTCAGCTCACCAGCAGCCTAACCATTGTCAAGTTTTTTGTAGGTATCGCAGTAAAGGAGAGTTTTAAGGAGAGGTGTGAAGGAAGATAAAGAGGTAGCTTTGTGGATGTTAATGGGGAACTCCTCCCAAGTGTGAGGGGGACAGCATGGGAGAAAGCATGAAGGTGCCTGTTTGAAAAGGTACCAGCAGGACAATGGACACTGACATGGGTTGATCAAAGGTGGGAGCTGACCTTTCAATAGTGAATGAGAGATGATTTTTTCAAACCCTAGTACTTTTATTGACTTTTAGACAAAGGGGGAAAAAGGAAGAATAACATGCCAGTGTGGGACAGAGGCAACACATGCAGAAATTGAGTATAAATCACACATGCCACAAACACGAGTGATTAACTGGTTTAACAAAGAAACTTGTCTCCAGTATAATGTCAGATCCATATGAAATGTTATTCTACAATGACCCACTAGTGATCTTCTAAAGACTTTCAGGGTGTACTACAATCTTATAGTAATTTTATTTAAATGGGGGAGGGAAAGACATTCCATTGCAGAATAGGCCACAGTCTCTCCACAGATTAGTTGGAGGCAGGGGTGGGAGGGATCGGAAGCCCAGCAAGTAGAGTGGTACTGAGATGTAATACAGTTCCTGAATGAGGTATATATTAAAATATGAGGATTTTGATTCTCCTCTCCAGAGGTTTCAGGGGAACAGAAATGGCTGGCTTTAAGGATCTTAATGTTAATTTTCAATAAGCCTTGAAGCACCGGGAAAGATCCAGAAGACTGGAAGAAAACCAATAGTGTGCCAATTTTTAAAAAAAGGGTACATGAAATGACCCAGGTGATTATAAGTTCTGTCAGACTGACAATGATCCTGGGCAAGATAATGGAGTGGCTGTTACAGGACTTGATTAATAACAAATTAAAGGAGGTAATGCAAATCAACATGAGTTTATGTAAAATAGATCTTGTCTGAATAGATACCTTTTTTGATGAGATTACAAATTTGGTTGTAAAGGTAATAGGGCTGATGTAATAGACTTCTGTAAGACATTTGAAATGGTACAACACGACATTTTGATTAAAAAACTAGAATAATATAAAATTGACATGGCAAACATTAAATGGATTAAAAACTGAGTAAGTGATTGGTCTCAAAATGTAATTGTAAGCAGGGAATCATCCACTAGTGGGTATGTTTCTAGTGGGGTTCCACAGGGACTGGTTTTTGGCCCTACACTAGTAAACATTTTTATTAATGAGCTGGAAGAAAATATAAAATTGTCACAGATAAGGTTTGCAGAAGCCACAAAAATTGGAGGAGTGGTAAATAATGAAGAGGACAGGTCACTGATCTGGATTACTTGGTAAACTGGGCCCAAGCAAACAATATGTGTTTTAATATGGCTAAATGTAAATGTATACACCTAGGAACGAAGAATGTAAGCCATAGTTACAAGATGGGGGATTCTATCCTGGGAAGCAGTTACTCTGAAAAAAATTTGAGGGTCATGGTGGATAATCAGCTGAACACGGGGTCCCAATGTGATGCTGTGGCCAGAAGAGCTTATGCAATCTTTGGGTGCATAAACAGGGGAATCTTGAGTAGGAGCAGAGAGGTTATTTTGCCTCTGTATTTGGCACTTGTGCTACTGCTGCTGCAATACTTGCCCAGTTCTGGTGCCCACAATTCAAGAAGGATGTTGATAAACTGGAGAGGATTCAGGGAAAAGCCACAAGAATGATTAAAGAATTAGAAAACATGTTTTATAGTGATGGACTCAAAGAGCTCAATCTATTTAGCTTAACAAAGAGAAGGTTAAGGGGTGACTTTATTAGAGTCTATAAGTATCTACATGGGGAACAAATATTTAAGAATGGGTTTTTCAGTCTAGTAGAAACAGGGACGGCTCCAGGTATTCTGCCGCCCCAAGCGGCAGCCGCGGCAGCGCAATCACACCACTCCACTCTTTGGCGGCAATTCGGTGGCAAGTCCTTCGCTCCAAGAGGGACTGAGGGACCCACTGCAGAATTGCCACTGAAGGCCCAGATGTGCTGCCCTAATAGCAGCCGAAGGGCCGCCCCTTGGTATTGGCCGCCCCAAGCACCTGCTTCTTTAGCTGGTGCCTGGAGCTGGCCCTGAGTAGAAAAAGGTATATATTCATAGAATATCTGGGTTGGAAGGGACCTCAGGAGATCATTCCAACCCCCTGCTCAAAGCAGGGCCAATCCCCAGACAGATTTTTGCTCTAGATCCCTAAGTGATCTCCTGAAGGATTGAACTCACAACCCTGGGTTTAACAAGCCAATGTTCAAACCACTGAGCTATCTCCCCTGATTCAATAACTGCAAGCTGAAGGTAGACAAATGTGGACTGGAAACAAGGCATACATTTTTGACGGTGAGGGTAATTAATCATTGGAACATTTTACCAAGGGTCCTGGTGGATTCTCCATCACTGACAACTGTTAAATCAAGATTGGATTTTTGACTAAAAGATATCGTCTAGGAATTATTTTGGGGAAGGTCTATGGCCTGTGTTATATAGGAGGTCAGACAAGATTATCACCGTGGTCCCTTCTGGTCTTGGAATCTATGACTCTATGAATCTTGTCTCGCAGAGCTTTCACAGAATTATGCCCCAGAAGATAAAGGGGCAGTTCCTAGGCTGATGTAAATAGTACAATAGTAATACCAAGCATTTACCATTAAAGATCTCAAAGCACTTCACAAAGGTAAATGTTCTTATTCACATTTTACAGATGGGGAAACTATGGAATAGAAATGTTAAGTGATTTGCCCAGTGTCACACAGCAAATAAATGGCAGGGGATAGATGATAGATATTCAGTCCCCCAGTCCTGTGCCCTATCCACTACAATAACTCTGTTCTGTAAACTTTCTTAAATGTAAGCAAAAAGCAAAACAACGCAAAAATAACAGATACTATATTTTGAATTATTCATTCTAAATCTTTAAAACAAAGAGAATATAATCATTTTATTTCATAGGATTTTGAACTAAACAATGAGATGAAAATGAATGTTCTAAATTTGCTGGAAGAAGTTTTGAGAGATCCAGACCTTCTACCACAAGAAAGAAAAGCCACAGCAAACATACTGAGGTAAAGATGTTCAAATGAATTTAATGTAATTGTAAACCATATTATGAAAAACAAAGAAATCAGTAGCTTGCTATAACACAGTGTCTTTATTTTTGAAAGATCACAAAGTGCTTAACAATTGAAATACAAACCATATACAGGGATAACTTTACATCTACCAATGAAATGCAGCCACCTCTGGGATAAAATGTGGCAATTGTTTAGCAGCGTATAGCAACGTTGCACAGGAATCAAAGAATATTTTAACAAATAGAAACTGCAAGGAGATTGAGGAGAATTTAGGTGTGCATAACGTAATTATCCAATTTGGTGAAAACTATTGTGTGATTTTTGTTAATGACAACAAGCAATCCGGACATGATATTTACAATTCATCCAGAAACACACCTTCAGCAGCACATAACAAACACCATGCAGGGCGTCAGTTCTGTATTCATTTAGAGAGGAAGGTGCTACCTACTGTAAATAATCAACACCATTTCTTAAAGTGTCTAGATGTTCCTTGGAGGTCTTCCATCCAAATGATGAGCAGCTCAACCTGCTTAGCTTGTGAGAACTGGCAGCCTAATGTGATATGAAAGATTAAATAAAAGAGATATTACTTATACTTTATGGTATGCTGATAGCCATGACTAAAGTTACTTGGGTGGATTATAGGAGTAAATGCCTGGTTAACTAATTGCCATAAAATAAAAGGCATAAGAGTTTCTGCAGAGCTAGAGCTATTTAGGGATAAAATTGAGAGAAAGCTAGAATGTATTGTAACGTCAAAGGAAAGACAACTGGCTTTGCATATATATCAATGTGTGTAATTTCAATCAATCAGTGTGGAGGGAATGATATACATTTTATAAGAAAGTAGCTTATATCTATGTACATTTTGTTAAATCAGTAAGGAAGAATTAAGAGTAGAAAATCAGAGAAAGAAGATATGAAAAACAGAACAATCAAGGACATGCCTCAGCAGCTTCTTAGAGTTCTTGAAAATATACTGCCAGAAAGTCAATCGATGTACAATAAATATGTGCCTGAATTCTCTGCGAACACAGGACACATTTCCACATCAGATATTTATGTGAAAAAGGAACAAGTCAGAAAATGAGTGGGAAGTTGACTTGGTGGATAAAAACTGATTGAAGGGCAAAAATAGTATCTTAAGAAATAGGCCTTTTAAGATGAGAATTTGTTACTGCATGTTAGTAAGGCCTCATTTCATTTTTTCACATAAATAAAAAAACATAAACCCTAGTATAATATATTGTATAAGTAACATGTAGTATTACTGAAAATAAGAATTGCACAGGTGTTAATTATTCTTGCTTAGATGAAGCTTAAGCAAGAAGGATGTAACCGATTGTGGTACAATAGGTTTTAATAATGCATCTATGAGCAAAGAATACAAAGGATACCAAGACGCTGGGAAAGAGATCTGAAGTTACTTTGAAATCCTTAAAGATCTCAGCCAAATATAGGCCTGAGGGAGAATAGAATGAAGTGCTATTGACAGAGAGATGGGATAAACTTGTACATTGAAGACATATACATCTATCAAGTTGACACATAAAACATTGGTTGTTCCTTCCAAAAAATACAATAGCAAAGGGGATGTTGAAACTGTTTGTGAACGAATTCCTCCCTTTCCAACGCTGTTCTATTGCTCCTTTAGATTGCATTTATTTACCTGTCTATATGCCTTTCTATGATGCTTACTGATGCAGTTTCTGTCTGAGCACCTCACACCAATTAATTAATAGAGCTGGTCAAAAAACTTCATTAAACATTTTTTTATGAAAAATGATTTTTTTGTCCGTAATAAATGTTTATGAAAAGTTTTTTTGTTTTAGTAAACATGTTCCAGTTTTCCAACAACAAAAAATGAAAATCAAAAAATTTTAGTTTTCAAAAACTGAAATATTTTTGGCATTTTTAATAGGAAAAAAGGGGGTCAGGAAAGAGAAAAAAAGGAGAGAAAGGAATAGCAGGACCAAAAGCCAAAATATTTTGTGGAATAAACATTTTATTGAAAAATTCCACAAAGAATTTGAACAAAACAAAAATTCTTCATTTTTTTTGTAGAAAATACATAGCATTTATTGAACATCTCTATTAATTAATTTATCCTCACAGCAGCCTCCTGAGCTAGGGGAGTATTATCACCCCCATTTTACAAGTGGGGAACCAAAACATAGATTAAGTAACTTACATAGGGAGCCTGTCACAGAGCCAGGAAGAGATTCAGATTTCCTGAGTCCCAGTCCACTACCATAACTGCAGAGCCAGCATCCTGCTCCTTTCTGTACCTATAGTCCACCTTTACCTGGTCCTATCAGATCTTTCAAACAATCAGCCTGGGTCACACCTTTGTTGGAAGAGTTTCACGTAGTGTTGATGGTTCAGTATATATCATTATTCCCTCTGGAAGAATAATGTACTAATGACCCAGTGTGGTTTCAAAGGATACTGTGTGCTGTGCATTCTTTCAAATGAGGTGTGAAATCAAGATCCTGAGTAATTGTGGTTATTAAAAATCCTGTGTTACTTTTCACAAGGATAGTAGGGGTACTAACTCTACTTGTCCTGGCCAATTTCTACACTTGGTGTTTACATATGCCTAATTACATTCTTCCAATAGTTTTAATAGAATAAGATGTTCTTAGTTTCCTCTAAAAAACAGTTGTATAGTGTCGCTGTTCTGTGTTGTTGAATAGTCGCTGAACAGTTCATTCTATAGGTGACTTTATTTCATCAGCGGCTGAAATTATTCCTGTCTACAGCCTAAATATATGTTTATTATATATGCATAGTACTTTAGGAACTTTCAGGATGAAAATTGTTGCATAAATGTAAGATTATCATGTTCATAATTTAAATTGGTGTTCCATTACAATCAGTAGAATGTCAGGATGCAAGTAAAAGGTGCTGGCACCTAAAATGTAGCAGTCCCATAAGATCTTGTATTGCACAAGCAGCTACAAAGGAGATGTGTATTTGCTAGACTTACATGGTGGATTTTAGTAACAATCAACTGGTTAAGAGAAAGTCATTCCTCAAGATTTTATACTTCTGAATAGCCTCAGCAATCCCATGAAACAGAGTATTAGAGCAGTCCTGATTTTGCTCAAAAATCATTCAGCCAGGATAAAACATGTATCATACATCTTAACTCAGACAGATGAAGTCTGACTCCTAATTCACCTGAAGAAAATGGGTTTCTAGCTCTTAGGAGCCATTTCTAAGACTAAAAAAAAAGTACTGCAGTTACATCCAGAGTAGCATTCTCTAAAATGCTATGTGGTAACTGAGAAGAGAAAATAAAAGCTGACTAACTAATCGGAGATGTTTCCTTTTCTGAAGACTTATGTTTGCCTGGCTGTTGTCATCTGCTAATGAAACAAGGATGATCATTCTATCACTTATCTACAAGCCTAGATTTGTAGGTTTCCAGTTTCCAGCCCTAAAGTGTACACGTGCAAAAGTTCAAGTGTTCTGCTCCTGACGGTAAGATTGTGGGCATGCACTTTTTTTTTACCTACTTCTATTCTGCACTGGCAATAACCCATGAGTTTGAGTACTGTCAGTATAGTACCTAACTCTTGAGAAATAACCTGTGCAATGAACCAAAGCTCAGAACCCTTTGAAAAGCTCTGACCAGGGGGAGTTGCAATGACTTTTCTTTGAGCTATTGAATGTTCTATGTGAGGTCATCTACGGAGCTGTGTCCCCACCTTCAGCTGCTGCAATAGCATGATGGAGCTCCCTCTGGTCCTTCAACTTGTCATCTTGTTGGTTGAATCAGAGTTGGAACTGGTTCCAGGCCTTTCTTCGTAAGCTTGACCTTGGGATGCCTGGAAATCAATAATCAAGAAATCAATAGTGTCATGTCATGAGGGTTTGGATGGTCTGATAGAGTGAAGAGGGCCTCTGACTGAATACTGCCACAATTTTCATTGGGATCAAGAACCAACAGAGGAAAAAGAGGAGATGGCACCATCAGTCCCTGGATTCCCATTCTTCCCCTAAGAAATACAGAGGTAAGGGCCAAGTAGGCACCAACCTTCTCTAGTGCCAAAGTGAAAAATTCAAATTGTCTTAGTGCTGACAGATAGATTCAAGTATTCCCTGTGCTAACAAATTATTGCTTGTGCTGTGAAGGAAGGACTAGTGCTTTGTAAGGGTTTCTCTTCTCTTGAAATCACTGTTCTGCACTGGTGCCATTCCTGATTCCATGCCTCCTTCTGGCAGCAGTTCAAGGAGAAGATTCTTTGCACTCCTCCCCCCACCTGAAGGAGTGTTCTTTCTGTTCTCAGTCTCTGAACACTACAATTCTTGTGGCAATGACAACTGAGGTTAAGGTTCTTGTAACCAAGAAAATTGATGAGTTTCAGGTTTTAATGGCTGACCCTCCTTAGTTGCATCAGGATAAGGTGGTATTGTGTCCTTATTCTAAACTCATCGCTGTAGTGATCACTGATTTTCATCTGAATCAGACTACTAATTTATCTGTTTTCTACCATTCACTACCAGAGGAGGTTAGGTTACATATTTTGGATGCTTAAGAGGGTACTTAGCTACTACTGTCATAAAACAAAACTATTCCTTTAGTCCCCTGAACTGTTTATAACTTAAAGTGGCAGGATTAGGAGAGAGACAATATTTTCTGAAATTGATTCAATCTTGTACAGAAAAATACTCTGAGTACTAAAGGAGCCAGAACATGATCAGCTAAGTGTAAAACAGCTGCTAGGGCCTGTTCCATTGTAGAAATATGGAGAGCTGCTACCTGGTAGTCCATCCCTTGGTGTAGCATTACTCTCTTGACCTAGCCTCAGTTTGGGAGAGCAGGCCTGCAGTCATTGTCCAGTTCATCACCTTCCTATACCCACTTTGAGCCTATGCACAGGCATGTCCCAGAAGTGTGGATCTGTACTGACCATCTACCTGAAGGATGTCAGTTACAGTGAATGATTTCTTCTGAAAATTGAGCCAGTATTAGTATATGC